CTTGACGACAACATAATCCAGGGATGGCTCAAAGCATGCACAGGTGACCTTGGTGACCGAGTTGGAGATCTCATTCAGCGGAATGCCCAGACCAAGTTTGGCGGCAATGAAAGCCAGAGGATACCCGGTTGCTTTTGAGGCAAGTGCCGAAGATCGTGACAGACGGGCGTTGACCTCAATGATGCAGTATTCCTTCGAGAAAGGATTCAGGGCATACTGGATATTACACTCGCCAACAACACCGAGATGACGGATGACGTTGACAGCGGTCGTTCGAAGCATGTTGTAGTCCTCGTCCGACAGAGTTTGTGACGGAGCAACCACAATGGAGTCACCAGTGTGAATACCCAGCGGGTCGAAGTTCTCCATGTTGCAGACCGTGATACAGTTATCCATGGCATCCCGGACGACCTCGTACTCGATCTCTTTCCAGCCTTTCATGCTCTTCTCGATCAACACTTGTGGGCTAGCAGCGAGAGCCTTTGAACAGAGAGCACGCAACTGATCCGCATCCTCGGCGAAACCGCTCCCCAGACCTCCGAGAGCGTAGGCGGCACGGACAATGACAGGGAATCCGATATCCTCCACAACCTGCATCGCCTCCTCAACGGTCGAAGCGGAGGCAGACTTGGCACACTTCTCGCCGATCGACTCCATGCTTCGAGCGAACAGTTCGCGATCCTCAGTCGTAATGATGGTTTCAATGGGAGTACCCAGAACCTTGACGCCAAGCTCCTCGAACTCGTCCTTCAGCTGGATACCAACCTGCAATGCCGTCTGGCCACCGAAAGTGACATAGATGGCGTCCGGTCGCTCATGTTTGATGACCTTGCGCACGAAATCAGCGTTGACAGGAAGGAAGTACACCTTATCCGCTAGACCTTTGGAAGTCTGGATCGTTGCGATGTTGGGGTTAATCAATATGGTGTAGATGCCCTCCTCTTTCAAGGCTTTGATGGCTTGACTGCCCGAATAGTCGAATTCACCCGCTTGACCAATGCTCAATCCACCACTTCCCAGAACCAAGACTTTCTTGACAGACACCCGAGGATTCGCCTTCACGTTTTCGGCACGAGAGCCCCCGGGGAAAGAAACGGGTTTGGCCAGGGCATCAGGGGAGGCAATGGTGTCCTTGATAGCATTGATGAAGACGTCGAAGAGAAACTCGGTATCTCGAGGACCCGGCGTGCTTTCTGGGTGGAACTGCACACTGAAGAAGGGGCGGCTGACATGCCGGATACCCTCATTGCTACCATCGTTCGCGTTCACAAACAGCTCCTCCCAACCCTCCGGAAGAGTTGTCGCATCCACAGCATATCCGTGGTTCTGAGACGTGATGTGACACTTTCCAGAGATCATGCTTGTGCAAGGAATGTTGTGACCGCGGTTACCGAACTTCATCTTGATGGTGCTCGCACCCACTGCTCGGGCAAGGAGCTGGTGTCCAAGACAGATACCAAAGATTGGAGTCTTTCCCTCGTTGACAGCCTTGGCGAGATTCTTCACTGTCGTGGAAAGGGTGGCAGGGTCACCGGGACCGTTGGAGATGAATAAACCATCATAGTCCTTTCCGACCAGCGTGGGGAAGTCGTAGTCCCAAGGCACACACCAAAACTTCAACACCACGGGACAGCAAGCAGCGCAGCTGGTTGAATTTCAACCCGACATCCAAGCAGAGCACTCGAACGGCACGACCGGAAGGATGCTTGAGGGCGACCGACTCCGAAGGTTTGAACAGACGTGGTTCTCGGATAGAAACTAATCACGGATACGTTAGCAATCGCGTCAAGCTCGAACAGCCCCGACGCAGGCAGGGAAACTCACCTTCTTGAACAAGATTTTTCTTGTTTGGGTCAACCCACTCAATCTGCTCGAAGTAGGGTCTCCATGCATCCTTCTCCGCGCCAGCTGCGTTGCCATTGGCGTGGGTTCCATTGGCAAGGCCGGTCGATACATTGGACTTCTGGAGCATCATGCGGCCGAGCATGCTACCCTTCTCCCGAATGCGCTTGGTCAGAGCCCTGGTGTCGACACCGTGCATGGCGGGAACACCTTGCTCTTTGAGCCATTGTCCCAGCGACGACTGAGCCAGGAAGTGCGAGTAGTCCTCGCCGGAGTAGGTCGCAACCACAAGGCCGGCAATGTGGATCTGGTTGGATTCGAAGTGCTTGGGAAGCACCTGGAGGAGTTCGTCCATCGTCTCCCGCGAAGGAACACCGTAGTTACCGACCAGGGGGAATGTGATGACCAGGATCTGGCCCCGGTAGGAGGGATCGGTGATGGATTCAGGATAGCCCACCATTCCGGTCTGGAAGACCAATTCACCGGCCACGCTCTTCTCCGCACCGAAGCTGTAGCCCTGGTAGGCGGTGCCATCCTCGAGCTCGAGGACGATCCGTTTCTCCGAGCTGCCCAAAACGTGGGAGGAGCAGGGAGGAATCAGAGAGCCATTGACGGCGGCAGGCATGGCGGGAAAGGGCTGCAAGTCCCTGTTCGCGTTGTAGGCCACAGCCCCTCCGGCCGAGGGGCTCGAGGGGACGGCATCACTCACACGCGAGGCCCTGGGCGGTGTAGCCTCGAGGGCGGTGTTGAGCTGCGTCATTGCTGAATAGAAGAGGTCCTCCGAGGGACAGTGCCAGCGAGTTCTCTACCGTTGCATCCGCAGACTGCAAGACCGGCGCAATGTCTCGTCTGCCACTGCTGCACGGAGGGGTAGTTGAGGGTAGAAAGGGTCGTGGAGCTGACGCGAGCGGCAGAATCGAGAATAAATTTTTGTGTCGGGAGCCAGCGGAGGAAGACGGGGCGGCGCGCCGATTGGGCAGAGCGGCAAGGGCCCTGGCTGCGGCCAGCCAACGGCGGCGCGTGCTGCCTTTTTTGCCGGGCGCCACCGCCTCCGCTCTTGGCAGGCGCCACGGGCGGTCGCAGACGGCAAAATCGAGCGTCGAGGTCTGGCCGCCTCGCTCTTTCCACATCGGGATTGCTAGTCTACGGAGTAAATAAGGAAGGAGTCTCGACCCCGAGTCTGTGACAGGTCATCTGCTTGGCGGGAATCGTATTCTTACTGGCGCTTCTATATAAAGATTGTATATATCAAGAATCTTGCTCTTTATAGAAACCGGTTGTAGCTTCTCACAATCCATCCCGGAGTATCCTCCATACTCCGTACTCCGTATGCAACCCGATACTCCGTTCTAGGCTTTCCTGCTAATGCATTGCATGCAGCCCTGCATAAGCCTTATCTTGGGGCACACCATGTCTGTCATGTGAAGTGCCGATCAGCGATGAGGGATTTCCTCGCTCCTGTCAGTCTGCTGCAGCAGATAATCATGGATCGCCAGCGACATTTCTGCCCCACCGCCAGCCCCGGCCAGGCAGGCGGTGAGCAGCGCGACTCCTGAACGCTGGATGCGCGACTGCCGCTAGAGATAGACGGGCAGCAAATCATCGTCGCCCATTCCGCCATCCACCATCCCGTGCCCTGGGCTGCTCATGTGGACGGGCCTTGCCCTTCATCATCGCCCTGGCATTGAGATTCCTCTGGCCGTCCTGGTCCAGATCCCTCTCTGACTCTGCGCTCTGGATACTCCAGCTGGTCTGCATCGTTCTTCCTTTGCCACTCCATGCTGCTCCCTCCATGTCGGGTACTCGACAGGCGTGTTGACATTAGAAACCAGCAAGTCGCGATGCAGTGAGTACAGCGCAATTGCTTGAGAGGGGCTGGCTGGTCTAGGTGATCAGGTCCTCCATCATGCTCGCCTCGCTTCTGCGTCCCAGGAGACCGCGCAACCCTGCCAATCGGTCGCCATTTTCGTCCCCGTACACCACCCAGGAGACTGCGCCCTTTTTGCAGCGTAGCGACCGTCCTCGCCATGCTGCTGACATTGATAACGAGGGGAGTCATGATGATGACAGCGTGGGGTTCAGCCATGACGATGACGAAGAGCAAGATCTCCAGGGCGAGGATGGGCCAGAGGAGTCATCCCCACTGCTGCCCATCTTCTCCGCGCCTCACCTAGGTAACTTGGAAGAAAGTTGGAATGCCACCGAAGTTCTGTTGGTGCTGACAATGGTTTTGTCTAGATTCCCTTCCGGTTTATAACATTACTCATGAGATACGACTTCTCGTTGAGGCGCGATGTGAAACCACACTGTCCTGGGACCAGCTCCGGTCTCCCCAGGTCTCACAATTCCTACTGAAGCCCATTCAGCAACAGATCCGGGACTCGCATTTCAATCGAGCCACTCTCTATGCGCTCATGGCAAATTGCCTCCAGTTCCACAAAGAAGTAGAACTCAACCCGGGCAACAGCGGTACAAGTCGGACCAGGGCGATGGTGTGCGAGCTCCTCGCCATCAAGCTGTTGAAGGAGTTCACCACCCGGGAACTAATCGATGCTCTATCCTACGATTTCTTTCCATTGCAAGGACAGAGTCCTCCAACGACGGCAACAACGCTCCGGGGCCCGGGCTGGAGTAGCAGCCAGAGGAGCAAGCCACCAGCCGGAGCCGCCCGTATCTCCTGTCTCGAAATAGCGATTCGTGCCCAAGCGAAACGATTCCTCGCTCATCCGCTTGTTGTCCAGCAGCTGGAGGCAATATGGGCCGGCACTATCGTCTTCCACTCCGCTGCGGATAGTCTTCACCGCCAGCCGCCGCAAGCCAGCACCCACAGTGAGCCGGGATATGGATCCTTCAACCACAACGATCCGTCGTTGGGCTTCTCCCAGGGCAAAGCTCAACCAGGGACCCGTAGCCAGGATCCTGGAAGGCCGCGGCGCTCAGTTACTCTATATGATCCTCGTGACGCGTCTCTCTTCAAGTTATCGAGACTTAGAGTGCCTCGATATCGGCAGTTTCTGTCGACCTGCTCCTTTGCTGTGTTGCTGGGCCTATATCTCGCCGTCATCATCCAGCGACCGCTAGAGATTAACACACTGGAACTGGTCTTCTGGTTCTGGAGTGCGGGATTTATGCTCGACGAGATTGTCGGTTTCAACGAACAAGGCTTCAGCCTCTACCTCATGAGCTTCTGGAATCTTTTCGATCTCGGCATCCTGTTGCTTCTCTTCTGCTACTATTGCCTACGCCTCTACGGTATGATGATGCCAGATGTTCGCAAACAGGCTGTTGCGGATCAAGCATACGATGTCCTGGCGGCCAGTGCAGTGCTTCTCTTTCCACGTCTCTTCTCGGTGCTGGATCACTACCGATATTTCTCCCAGCTGCTCATCGCTTTTCGGATCATGGCCGCGGATCTAATGGCGGTTTTCATTTTGATTGTCGTCGCCTGTAGCGGTTTCTTCGTCGCGTTCTCCTTTTCGTTCGGCTCGTCGAATACTCCGAGTTCGATAGCCTATGCCTTGTTCCAAATGCTCATGGGCTTCACTCCGGCTGCCTGGAGTCTCTGGGACGAATACAATACGTTGGGCAGGATCATCCTGACCATCTTTCTCTTTATCTGCCATTTTGTAGTGGTCACCATTTTGATCACGGTTTTGACCAACTCGTTCATGGCCATCGTGCAAAATGCGAACGAGGAGCATCAGTTCGTGTTCGCCGTCAACACCATCTCTATGGTCAAGTCTGACGCCCTGTTCTCCTACATCGCCCCGACCAACATCCTCGCCTGGCTGATCACGCCATTGCGGTTTTTCATTCCCTTCCGCCAGTTTGTCAAGCTCAATCGAACGGTGATCAAAATCACCCACTTTCCCGTCTTATTCACCATTTGCCTCTACGAGAAGACGATTCTCAGTTCATCTTTTTTCGAGCCGATCGACCTGGTAGAATATCGAACCCGTTCCGGCAAGGTATTGCGTGCCAGGCAAGACCGTGAGAGCCGCTTCGATGCGTTCAACCGGAGTAAGCGACTGCTTGTCCGAGAACCGTCCATCGCTACCTATCAGCAAGACCGCATCCTAGAGGAAGTTTTCCGACAGCCATTCCGGCATCACCCAATACCGGATGTGCACGCGAGCCCCGATGGCCGCCGAAAGACCAACATGGTCAAAGATTGGATGCAAAAAGTGGAACCAGGGCCAGCGAACCCGCCAGATGAACCGGGTCCCGGTGAGATCGATCATTTAGAATCAACTCCGCGACGATCCCGAGCACTAGGACGTCGCAAACCCTTGCTCGGGACGATCCGCGATTTTACAGAGACGACTCGCTCCGTGGCATCTGACCCGGAGGAATTCGTCAATCACGATTTCCTGCGCCCAGACCGTGGAGACTCTTCTCGAAATTGGCGGTCACTGTTGCGATCGAGACAGTTGTCTCAAAACACTGACGTAGAAGGAGATGATGAGCGGACCAGTGGAGACAACAATGACGATGATTCAGGTGATGAGAAGCAATCTCTGACCAGGGACTCGGAGAATGGCGATGGGCCGACGCCAAGGCACAGCGGCAAGTCCACTCCAAAATTCTACAGTTCCCGACCGTCGACTGCACAGCTGCGTTCCCGCAAAAACAGTCCGACCCGGCGCCGCCCGCGGACCCCCCGCCGTCTGAGCCGAAACCTGTCGAGTGCAACCATTCTTTACAATCCTGTCGACCCGCAAAGCGGTGACGACTCGATTCAAGGGGGACCCTCACATACAAGGAGTACCCAGAAGCTTGGAAAAACGAACCGTCCTGGAGGCACACCGCCGTCACCGGGCCGACGCACTCCGAAGCGGAGTGCTGCCGATGCGAAACAGGCTCGACCGACCCTTCCTCCTCGTTCCGCATTCATGTCCGTCCCTGATTTCGGTGGCGTGGGCCTGGAGCTTGGCTCCGACCTTGGCGACAACAAGGCCGTCGGGGGAGGCTTCGTGGGTGCTATCCCGTCCAGCTTGGCGACTCAGATCATGTATCCGCCGCGTGGGAATGGACGCGAGAACGAGGATCGGGACATCCTGAGCAAGCTGGTGCTGGCTCGCATGAATAACCTCGAAGAGGGGTTCCGGGAAGTGATCAAGGAGGTGAAGGACCTCCGCCATGGACCAGGTAGTCGAGGAGTTTCTGATTTGCCGAAGGGTAGTCGGGAGAAAAAGAAACGAGCAGAGGCCAAGGAGACGAAGCTGGGGCAGCCGTCAAGGAAGAGCAAGAGCAGCAGCAGTGGAGGGGATCTGTTCGATGACGATAGTCTTGACGACTAGCCAGCAACCACGCGGCTCCTGCAGCCGCGAGATCTTGTATTCTACATGGGAGGCAGTCTGTTGGTACATGTATGACGAGTGTATATAATGGACGGGTTTGACGTCTAATTTCGGTCGTGTTTTCAAATGTAAAGTTCACGTGGCTCTTAATGTACTTGTATGTCTATACTGTTTTCTCATTTCAAATGATTCTCCCACAGAAATCCATGTGGAAAATTTGAATGTCTTTTTCGGGTTGTACTGTACAACGTAAACGTATCTACTTATCCACGAGCCCATTTCAGAGAAAAAAAAAAGCATTAAATAATGCCGTCGCCCATGAACCCACATCCATCCTTCATCATCCACAACAAATATACTAGCTAGAACACACAAATCCCCTCCTCAAAATACTCTTTTCAATAGTTCTTACTGACCGCCGTCCTCGGCCTAGGCGCAGACTTGAACGTCCCCTGATCCGTCTGACTGTTGGGGTCCGCATTCCCGCCGCGCATCGCCCAGCGCTCGTCCGGGGTCGTGATCTTTTTCCCTGGCTGGAGGGTGCGGAAGATGAGGACTGTTGTGGTGATGACGCCGGCGATGCTTAGGAAGGCGATGTTGCGGGTGCTGTAAGAGCATGTCAGCGGGTAATTTTTTTTTTTTCTTTCCTGATAATTTTGTTTTTTTTGGATGATCTCACCTCGTGCGCCCATTACGGCCTAGTGCGGCGATCCCTCTTGGGGGTGGGATAATCGGCATTTAGTATAGGTATTCGGTGGTCTTGATCTATAAGATCTATAAAAGGTATCTGGGTGGAATAATAGCAGGATCAAGTAGGTAGGAGACAATCAGATTTCGTATGGGAATAAATACATTTACTGTACGTATGTACATCATACGCCCAGAGGATTTGGCCAGGACAGTACTGGAGAATGAATGAATGAGTGAAGGTAGGTAGGTAAGTCAGTCAGCAGTGGCGGTGGGAAACGAGTATGCTCATTATCACCCTCCGCCACCTGATGACAATCATCAATCGTATGCAGAGTTACTGTATCTTGCACGTGCCACAATACCTGGCAAAAAAAATAACCCTACTCCGGAGTAAAATAGGTTGTTGACGGGATGGCGTTCCGGACGGGAAATATATATTTTTAGATTCCCGTCGTCGAGCTGACGTCAAGTGGAGAGGGAGAACCAAGGATAGTGTTCCGCGATGCTGGGTCCAGGGAAAAGTCAACCAGAGCTTTCATTCGTAGGTAGTAGATTGGGTTATATTCTTTGCGTGGAGGAAGGGCAGTACCAGTTGTTTGGTGGATATCAGACGAGTGGGGATAAATTGTTATCAATTTATCTGGAGTTCTGGACCCTACGTACAGTACATCCATCCGTTCATTCTTTCTTTAGTTATTTGTTTATTTATTTACTTTATTTTTTGATGACCTTTCCCATATCCTTGCAGCATCACATCTACCTCGCTGGGCAATGTCACATGCATCATGCCGTTTCTTCATCTAATCGCCCGACTCAACTCTCCATGCAAATTCCCAGGCGAACAGCTTGCCTGTCAGCACGCCAATTGGTTTGTCTGCCTAGGCAGCAAGAGCACTCCTCCTAGCGACGCCCGACTGAGCACAAGACCAAAATGACTCAAACCTGCAGGCAAAGAGAGAGAAACGAGGCTGAGACAAGCCTTGCTGGCTGTTCTAGTAAGTAGCAGTATGGCAGTCTATTTACTCTCTGCTCCAGCAGATCTCTTTTCTCTCTGCTGTGCCAATCTCCACCTGCACTGCTCTTCGTCTGAGGCTATCACTGCTATTTTGATCCTGGCCGGGCGCAGACGGATAGATGCGCTTCGCCGCGGCCAGACCTTCATTCAGCTGATCGTCGATCGCGCAGCACTCATCTTATCGTCCCTTCATCTCCTGTCATTGTCAACAATACGCCCCGTCTGTCAGAGACATATTGACTGTTCCAGACTCTCCTTTTAAGACTCTCCAGCTTCTCCCTTCTTCCTCGCAGGAATCAAATACTAGCTACTCCCCAGCTCATGACCGGCCTTACCTGTCACCATGGATTCTCACCAGCCAACCTTCACTTCACAATACTCTGTTCCGGATAGTGGTGTCATGGATGAATTGCGGTGCGATTCTCCTAATGCTTCCAAAAGTCCCAGTGGCTTGTCTATCCTTCTACAGCGCAATGAGGCAGGACATCCTGACAAGACAGCTGGTTCGCAGTGGCGAGGATACGTTCCTGCCGGGGAGGAGCAGTCGAAATCTCCAGACCCGACCGACAGCGTCTTCATGAACAATCTTCGCATGCCATTGCTTATGTTCACGGATGACGAGGCTGATACTTGGGTCTATATCGACCCTGCCCCACAACCTGGCCAGTCTACCTTACTCACAGCTGAGACGCAGACCATTCCTCATCGAATCCACAGTCGCAGTCTCCTGAAAACCGGCTCCAGCGTCTTCAAGAAATATTTCGAGCCGAGATGCCAGGCCCGGGTACGCAAGCGCCGTGGTCTCGCAGACAAGTTGCCCGATGGGATCAAATATGTTCTTGATCTCAGCCCTGCCACCGAGGGCGACGATGCGCTTATATTCATGACCGAACTCTCCTGCCCCGTCGGTGTCAGAAAATGGGCACGATACATGGGCAAGTGGAACTTGCCGCCCTCGTGTGTCGGAGGCCAGGATGAAGTAGAATGGCTCCCAGCACCTGAACGTCCTCAAAAACAAGGGGCTGAGAATGAAACTCAGGATGGATCATGCGATAAGGGTCAGGCTAGCGGCACGTTGACGAAACCATACCGAATGAATTGGGATGGTGGCCTACCTCAACCACCTGAGCAGGAGGCCCTTAACGAGGAGGATTTTGCGAAGAGGCAAATCGTCCGCGACGCGAAACCCCCCAGGAAGGTGCCTGGCCTTCCCTTGGACTACTCTCCGACCCGCCATCGGACGGGCATCGAGCGTCTCCTGCACGCTTTGGAGGGTCTGGACCCGCGGCTGGACACCGCCCCCAAGCTCTGGACCTTCTTCGCCCTGGCCAAGCTGTTTCACGTGGCGACAGTGCCGGCCGTTTGCGACTATATTGTGTCGTGGCTTCTCCAGCAGCCGAACACGCTGTTCGTCGAAGTCCACCCGGAACTGGCGTATCGAATTGCCTGCGGCATCCAAAACACTGATCTCTGTCGCGAGGCATTTGCGATTCTCGTGGGCGAAGAGGCGTTGCTTCTGCTGGAAGCGTCCGTGGAGGGCTGTGCTCCGAAGCGCTCTCAGCAGACCTTCCACGGTCGCGCCCGCGAGACTCTCGATGATACCGAGCTACAGCGGATCGAATACGCGAGCAAGACGTTTCTGGAGCGCATCTTGGAGGCATTTGTGAGTCTTGTAGGAACGGAGATGTCGTGGGTGGACGAGCTGGTCGCTCGCCATGTGAAGGGGGGCATAACGTCAGAGAACATCGCTCCTGTCACGGAGCTTACTCGCATCTTGAAGGAGTGGATTCGGTGTTATATCTACACTACCCTACAGCGACAGACGTCGACCTATGTGGATGACCGTCGCGACAGCCTAGGGGGCAATGACCTGGATTACCCCAGCATTGATTTCTTCACCGCGCCGGCAGGCATGTACTTTGCCAGTCGAGTCTTGACACGGTCATTTTGGAGGACGCTCATCACGGACAGCTTTCCTCAGGCCGCCATGAGTTTTCCCGCCAGGCTGCTGCATGACTCGATACGGGATCTGGCGCCTCAGCTGCCTTGCTTCAAGTCCCAGGCCGACGCCAAAATCCGACTCGTTCGATATGAAGAGGTTGCCAAGGCAGTGAGGAACTTTAACAAGCAGATAGGCTTTCTTCTCAGAAGGGGTGAAAATAATAATAACGAGACTGGGGATATTCCCAGCAGCAGCAGCCTGCCACTCGACAAGGCCGCTGATCTCTACTGGCTAGAACAAGCATTCCTCGGTATCCGTGAACCAGAACCAGAACCACACTTCTATCTCGGCTCCTTCGGGAAGGACGTCCAGAGCTACATCGCCCGCGTCGCCAAGACGATGGAGCAGCCGCCTCACCCAGAGAAAGCAGCGAAGGAGGACGGGGTGGTGCAGTTCGACCTGGTGGACACGCTGGTGTGTCTGCAAGAAGAGGAATTCAAGTACCTCCCGCTGTGGGCGAGCGGCAACGACGACGGCACGGGCGGCGTCTTTGTCGACCAGGACATCCCCATCCTCGAGACGGGCGGGTTTTCGACGCCGGGGCCGGCGGTGCACACGGAGAGCAGCGTCGCTTCCGCTTCTTCTCCTGCATCAGACTCGTTCAGCACGATCCACCCCAGCGACGCGGCCAGCACGGTGCAGCGCGCGTCCCATCGCGTGACTCACAGCTACAAGACGGAGACGGACGTGGTGTCGCTAGAATCGGCATCAACGGCAGACACAGCAGACACTGAAACAGCAGAACTATGGCAGAGAGTGCGCGAGTTGGATCTGGAAGAAGATAGAGACAGCGACAGCGACGACGATACAATCGGCGCAGAGACGCAAAGCCAACTGGACCTAGACGACAACGATGACGATGATGATGATGACGAGTACTACCACGTGGGCTTTGATGATGAAGATACCACTACCAATGCGAGTTCCAGTTCCAGTTCGAATTCCAGTTCTAACTAATCCCAGTAATTGATTATGCAATGCATCATCGAGCAATGACTGACTAATCTCGCATATCTACCTACCTCCTTACCGTTCGTCATCCAGCCGCATGCATACATACAAAGATTAATCAATGACACGCTGTACTTACTTCGTTACCTAGTTAGCTAGTTACTTAATGACGTGAAATGATATGACTGAAAGCAGGAAAGCAAGACCCTGCAAGCATAGCTAGCTAGCTAGTTATTTATTTCCTGTTACCTCCATCTGCATCGGTGTAGCATCTAAATGGGGATACCATTGACAATCGTGCGAAGCTTGATGGAGGATCCATAAAGGATGCTCCGACTACCTACAAGATATGGCCAATCCTTACACGTGATGACAATGGATCGACCATGTGACACCTATGGACCATCCATACTCCAGTCCGTCAAGGTACGATCTTGTACTGCGACAATCTGTCTGCATTTCCATCTGCATCTACTCTGGAACAGGAACCTCAAGATGATAAATAAGATAATAACCCAAGTTGACCTGACCTGACCTGACCTGATAATAATACCTATGGATGGAATTGGTACCTACCTAGGTAGGTAATTAATCAATTACCTAATTAATCAATGTAATTAATCGACAACAAATAATAACAAAAAAATAACAAAATATAGATAGATATTCGAGCAGGAAGGTAATCAATCTGAATTAATATTTATTTAATTAAATAGGTACTTATTTGTGTATGTGTTCTTCTATTCCGCTTTGGTTTGCTTTGCTTTGGCTTCGCTATGTATGTACTGTGTATGTATGCTCTGCTCCGCAGCCTCCGCTTCGTTCCGCTCCGATGGATCTGATTGATCCAGATCTTATTATTTTCTTTCTCTCTTTCCCTTTAAAATACTCCGTCCGTATCTAGATACAAAATAATTCCTCGTCCGTCATGTTCTTCCTTCCTTTCCCTTCCCTCCATGATTGATGACTTAATCAACTTTGTCATCGATCTAATTAATTGGCCGACGCCCCCTTGGGCGGGTATTCCTTGCCCTCGACCTGGACGCGAGGCGTGCAGGTGCACCAATCCGCTTCGGGGATGGCGTCCATGACCATTGGGATGTGGAGACCGCAGCCCCACCAGGTGGCTTTGTCTAGAAGTTTCCCCAAAAGAGTGAGCGGGGGTTGTGTAAGCGGCGAAAAAGAAAAGAAAAAGAAAACAAGAAAAAATTAAGAAGAGGGTAAGAAAGAATTATGGATGCAGAAGAATTGATGATAGGTTGAGAGGTTGATTGATACCTAGGGTTCGTCTGGGGAAACTTACGGCAAGTGGAGCAGGTGGCCTTTCTGCACATTTTCGTGCTAGCACGCAGATAGGATAATGCAGATGCAAGATCAAGATCTTGATTGACGATCGATCGATCGATCACAACTGGATCGGCTCGAGGTCACCACCCAGGGTGTATGTATGTATGTACTGCAACACGGCGAGATAGGAATGAAGTACGCAAGTCTGGCCAAAGTCGACTGACTGGGTTCCTTGAATATATACCGCTATCAGGACCGTGCGGGGACCAGATAAAAGACCGTCCCGCACCGTGCCACAGTGTTGCCGACGATAATCGTGGATTCCGTCGGCTCGCCCGGGAATTGCCTGCCGCGTTCGGCTAAACATTCCGCGCGGAGAGTGGCACGTGATGTGAATTAACATGTCGATTCTGCCGTCTGCTGGCGATTATTCAGGATGAGTTGCCATACCTCGCTACAAATGCAACGGTAGACCGTTTCGCAGCTCAACTGCCGCTGACCTGCGGCTCCGGGAACCAGAATTGACTGCCCTCCAGGAAAGCATTAAAGTCGAGGCTGTTCTGCTCCACCGGCCGCACGCCAATCTCCAGCACGTCCCGAGCGACGGCCTTGATCTGCCGCATCACCGACTGCGAAATCGCCCATGTCCGACCCAGCGATTTGAAGACCCCGATCGTCAGCGCCAGCCGATCGCGACGCGGATCCGGCATCTGCCCCGCCTTGACCGAGTAGGCCGCCAGCTGCACGATCGAGCTCAGCACCAAGGCACAGATGAAGAAAGGCGTGTGCTTCGTCACCGGGACGCGCATCGCCGCCAGGGTGGAGATCTCGCTGGCCGCCTTGACCGCCTTCATCGCGTGGGCGTGATGCGAAAACGCTGGCATCATGCAGAGACCCGGGTGGCCGCAGATCACTTCCGCTGCCACCGCCGGCGACGACAGCAGATCCGAGCGGGGAAAGTGGAGGTAGATCGAGGCCCCGTTGACCACCATCATGGCTTGGAACATCATCTCGTCAACGGTGCCGTCCGCCTGCATCAGTTCGGCCTTAGATTCCGGGAGGTGATGGAACCAGCTGGCGATCCGGGCGTCGATAGCCTCGATCTGTTCCTGCTGGCCCTGGACCGTTTCGCTCAGGAGAACGACGCGGCCTAAAATACGGACTGCCTCGATCCGGTAGGCGTAGGAAGAAAAGTCAATGTCCTCATCGGCAAAGACACGGTCATCGAACTGGGCAATCGTAGGCGGAGACGGAGGCGTCAGGCCATTCTGGTAGATGCGTTCCTCGCACGGTAGAGGCACTTCGAGCGGCACGTTGCTTGCTGTAAAGCTGCTCCTCACACCCAGCGCTGTCAGCATCCCTTCAACAATAAAGAGCTCCCACCAGGTCCGCCGTAAGCTCTCCGCGCGGATTGGATCTCCATCACTCATGGTCTCTGCAAAGGATTTGCGGTGCACCCCGAGTTCGTAGGCCAAGTCCATCGCCTGGGCCAGGCAGTTCCCAGCTTCGCCTCGCTCATTTCGAGAATGAAGCACAATGGCAAGAAGCAGCAGCGCCTGGACCTTTTCAGGCGACGGATCTTGGTCCACCACAGACGATACCACTGTAGGACGGTAGGTCTCACTGGACGCGGCCGGGGTGAAATGCGCGCCGATAAATTTGATCACCTGCTCGAGGTAGGGGGGCGGATTAAAGCGATAGAGCAGCCGGTGGGGAGGCAGGACCGGGTGAGCGGGATGGAAGTTGGAGTAGTAGACATCGACAAGATACCCGTCGCCGCCCAGCGACGACTGCGACTCGGGCGTCAAGGGCGATCTGACACCCATGTTTGCCTGATTCCCCGGCTGCGACACGCCCACCATATTATTATTGTTGTTGTTCCCGGAAGTATCTAGACAGGTCGGGGGAAGAGGTGGGGTCGACAAGGATGACGACGTCGGCCCAATGATGCCAGGAATGTTCCAGTCTGGAGGAATGTCGACTTTACGGCCATCGAGGTTGAACAACGTCGACTCTCCCAGGGCCTGCTGCTCAGGGGTGGGGGGATTGGCGCGACGCTTCTTGGACGGGCCTTTGTACCCCCGTCGCGAAGGCGTGTATTGGCAAATCGTGCCTGAGGAAGCACAACGCCCGCAGACGGGTGCCTTGCCGTCGCATTTGAGATGCTTCTGTCGACAGGTCAGGCAGGCCAGCAGCGACGGACCTGAAGGTTTGGGAGGAGCATTGGACGCGAAGGAGACGGTTTGTTCGGTCATGACGAATTCGCGCTATTCTCGCGGGGCAAGTGAAACCTGTAACTGGTCCAGAAATCAAGAATATATGCAGCCCAATCGAAAGTCGCACGACGCACGAAGAGAGCGGGCCAAACCAGCGGCCACAAGTGGTATACACTCGACAAGTAAGGAGGGGAGTAACGACGCGGAATGGGGATGGTATTCAATCGCGAACCGGCATCGTTTCGCTCCCGAGCAACGTTACCGGGAGCGGCAAAACAAGAGAGAGAGAGAGAGAAGGCTAGAGATAATCCAGGTTGAAAGGAGAGGAAGCCAGCGTCTGCGCAATGACAGGCGGGATGCGACTGCAGGCAAGGGATAGGTAAGTGGCAGTGGTGAATGAAGAGCCGAAAAGAAAAGGACGTCGCTGGATGAATGTGGCCGCGGGGACCGGGCACCCGGAGGGGGGAATCGTTAAACTGTCCACGAGCCCAGGCAGTAGCCTCAGACGTGAGGGCATAAGTTAAATAATCATAATAATAAGGAGCATGCGTGCCTGCTCGAGGCCGGTAGCATTTTCCTAGTTCAGGATCGCAGGGCTATCCCGCGCGTTGAGTCTGGAAAGTTGGGACGGACCGGCGACCCAATCGCCAAGTCACGCTCACCGGCGGATGATTAGGCTTCGGGCCACAAGCGGGCCAGCGGAGCGCAACGGCCTCGCTACGGCTCTGCCGAGGAGCATCAGCTAAGCGATGCACACAGTCAGAACGAAGTATATCTACCGGCGCAAGCAGTAGCAATATCGATCCTTCGACAGGCACGGCCAGTGTGTACGGAGAACAGTGTTGGGTCCTACTTGGTGTACGCCAATGCACAATACAATACACCGATGCAGTGTACTGTACCGAGTATACACACGGCAAGCAATTCTACTGCCGCATGGAGAAAAAAGGAACCGAAAAACCAGCAACCAGCAGATTTGAGTGGAGCCGTCTAAGTGGATGATCATTTAGCGATGCGAGGTGCATGCAGTCCTATGAAGACTGCATTCGTTTCTCCCGTTCTTGCATCGCCCAATCCAGTATTTATCCAATGGCATGTCGGCAGCAATGACGATTGAACAGTCGAATTAAAAATCAGCTATAACGAGGACCCTGTCGGTAATTAATAGTTTTGACTAGAGAGTGGAAACTCTGTTTCCAATAAAATAGTCAGACTGATGGCAGCAATAATGAAGTACCTAAATTACCGAGTGTCTGTGGAGTCCACTAGCAGTAGATGGCGTTGGTGACTTAGCCGTCAGGTGTCCACTCCTCTCCGCCCGTTGCGTCCGCAGCACGCATATCATATCACATTATCACCTCGAAACAAGAATAGAATTGCTCTAGAATCTTGTCCCGAGAGATTGAAATCTAGATCCCTATTGATTCGCCAGGTATGTGAGACGACCAATTCCCTTTCCCCTTCTTCCAAACGACAACCAACAACTTGCGCCCAGCGGACGTTCATTCATGAAAGCTGGCCAGACCAGACCAGACAAGCCCCATCATCAACGACCATTCCATTCCAACCAACCCAATCCAAATCTAAATGTTATCAATTAAATAATATACAAACAAACACGGCTAAGATTTTTCTCCTTCTACAGGACAAGAGCCTCTAAAAACGAACCCTCCTTCCACACCAACCAACCAAACCCGTACCGTACCATACCACCATGATCTCCGACAACGACCTCTTCCGCCTAGCCCTCTTCCTGGGCTCGTGCGCCATGCTCCTCATTATCCTGTACCACTTCCTCGAGGTCAACGCCAAAGACGAGTCCTCCTCCCCCGACTCCACAGGCAGCACGACGCCAGCCAGCGACAAGCGCATTCCTCCAGGGACCGATCCGGTTGCTTTCGCTCCTGCTGCGGCTCTGGGTGGGAAGTCGTCGTCGACATCAGCAGCAACAGGAACAACAACGTCAGGGGCGAAAGAGGGGAGGTAGTTTAGTTTGTTGGTTGTTTGTTAGTTTTGTTTGGTTGTTAAGAAGAAGAAGAGTGGTGGTATTCAATGCGAGGAGGACTACATAGAGAGCTACAGGCCAGGACGCGATGACATTCCTCCTTACCTCCCTACATAATAAATCATTTGATGCCTTCTGTCGAACGAACCTGTGTCGTGGGATTTCTGTCTCAAAGCACCGGATGCTTTTTCAAGCACGCTTCTTCGTGTTCAACCAAATAGAGCTACCTCTATAATTGTCAGCAAAAAGAAAAATACCATTTCCGTCCATGGATAGCATTTTAATCTGTTACGTGATAGAGTACAGAGAGAGGGGCTAATGTATTAAGGAGATACATTCTTGCATGGCACTAGAGTACAGCCTAGGTAGCAACATTGTCAAGAAAGCAATCCATTATCAGGTCTACTCCTGTCAATGCAAATAAAAATCACACCAGGGGAATCATGTTCTCTTCACGAATCCATGTATGCTGTTGTACACTAATGTCCTTGAGGATAAATCCCAGAAACCCCAAACGCCAACAGGCTACCATAACCCCAGAGACCCTTTCCTAAACCTTTCACACTGGACCATGCGACAAAAACAAAACCCACTGTAGACATTCAAAGCGACAAATCCTTCTCTCTGAAGAGATCCTCCTTACTCATCGTCGGAGACCTGTTCAAAAACTTCCTCGTCATTGCTCAACACCTTATTCCGCGCCGGGTTGGCAAGTTCACAACCGCCCTGCTCGAGTCCAAAGCCAACCTTCCGACGCTGATGCTGCACGGCTTTAAGCACTTCCTTCGCTTTCTCCAAATTCGACTGGTTGCCATGCAGCTTGTTAAACGCGCGAATCGGAGTGTGGTCGACCGGGAAGATGAGGGAATCTCCATCCCCCGCCGTGGCCGCGTTCGGCGTAACCACCGCTCCGCTAGAGTCATTCAGATACCGCTCAGATCCAACAACTAGAACGTCAGAATATTTGGTCTCAAGAAGTTACTTCCACAGACAGCCGCGAGGTGCCAGCAATCTCACCAGTTCCGTTCACTGACGGCCCATCTCCGAATTTCCACGCCAACGGCTGGACATGAGCCAGCTGCAGGTGTTTGCGAAGCTCGACGCCAGTATAGCGTCTCATGGCGTTGGGACAGCCATGCCAGCGGCAGCTCGTCTGGCCGGGGAGGTGGACCTTGATGATATGCCGCTCCAGCGTCTTGATATCATGGAGCTGCGCTTGGCAGGTTTCCCATTCACACGGGAAGTATCGGATAAGACGGAGAAGGCACTTGTGGAGGAACAGGAATCGCGACTTCGATCTTGGGCGCCTTGAGAGAGGACTTCGACGGCTGCTTATTCTTTGAGCCGGGAGGGCGGCCGGGGCGTCGAGGGGCAGAGTCAGAAGAACCTGCACCAGCCATTGTGCTCTCCTCTGCCCCTTTGGGTTTGTATTGGATAAAAGAAGTCGTCGAATGCTGTGGCTGGTGTGGAGATGGTTGATCTGGAGCTTTGTTTGACGGGGACGCGGGCGGTGTCTTATCGCCGCTAGCCGCGTCGTGCGCGTCACGTGATTTCTTCTCCGCGCGGCGCTTACGTGGGACGGGCGGCGGATAGGTGAGGATATCTTCAGGCTCAACGATGGGCATAGGGGGGCCTCCTGGGTCGACTATGTCCCATCGGAAGGTCTCTAGATCTGCTTTGCTAGAGACACAGGGGAAGTTCTTTTGCAATTGGATCAGATGGTAATTGAGAGGACGCTCCGTGGGATGACGTCCTGCAGCAATCAAGATGTCCCGGGCTATCGTCTTTGGATTATAGTAAAGCCGATCTAGAGCGGCCGAGTCCTTCAGGGGCTGGACAAGGTCAGGGCGCTTTCTGATCGAACCGCGCGTAGGCTCCTGCGACGACTCAAGGGCAAAATGGCTAAAATCAGGCCGAGGACCTTCTGCAGCACCTGGCGTAGGCTGATTCGTTTCGGTGCCAGGCTGAGGTGGTATAACCTCTACTGGGACGTCTCTGGGCTGGGGCTGATTCAGTTCACCGGGAGCTTGGCCTGACGGTTCTTCTACTGGCGCTAATGGATCCTTGAGTGGCACCTCTTCGAGTCGAGGCTGTTTAGGTGGTTCAGTGTCCTCATCGTCACTCAATTGCGAGAGATCGACAATCTCAGAGAAAAGACGTTTTCTTGCGGCTGCAGCCTTCGAGCTCGGAGCTGGTGACGAAGCAGGGGGCGTCGAAAGGCTAGATCTTGATGGAGCCGGCTTGGATGGATGTGACACAGCCTGAGCCGAAGACCCGGGCCCGCTGGATGAAGTGTCGGAGCTGGGTCCGGCACGTGGAGTAGTTGATACTTTGGGAATCGGTGCGGAAGATGACTTCTTCGAGTTCCACATGATCATATGAGGAGCAGGAGGCTTTGGTGGCTGCATCGGTTGGGTTTGAGGTATAGGACGCGGCGGAAGAACCTGAGAAGCTTCAAGAGCTTGCGGTGGAGGAGGTTGTGGGGATCGTGAAGTCGCCTCGACGTTCGACTCTGGTCTTTTCTGCTCCTGCGCTGGTGGCTGCGCTGGCGGCTGCGATGGCGGCTGCGGCGAATTATTGGCATTCAGATCCGGGACAGCCTTGATCAAGTATCGAGCCATGTTCTGTCTATGCAGCGCAAAACCAAGAGATTCTAGCTTCTCGCATAGTTCAGGATATGTGGGATTGTTGCGCAAGAGCGACAAGATGGCCTCTATTGAGCCTATTTTATTTTTGTTTGCAGGCTCAGTAGCTAAGTAATCCACGATAGCCTGAGCCAGTCTTCGCTGGGTCACGACCGGCCATGCCGTATCAGCCGTCCGGTTTGGCGCTGGTTGTCCTTGGGGAGTTGGTCGTGGAGGAGGCGGGACTGAGGCCTTCTGGTCGGGAAGAGGCGGCCGTGAGACATTAGGAGTCTGGCCCACCTGCATCGCGTTCGCAGTTGTCGGAGCCATCGAGACTGGAGACAGAACCGATCCAGAGGTCTCCACAGCTGAACCTTGAGGCACCTTTCCTGCTTTAGAGATATCAGGTCTTTTGCTCAGATCTGGTAAGCCGTCAATTCTGTTGGCAGGATCTGGTGAAGGCTGCTGGGCCATCTGCCCCGGACCCGTAACTGCTTGCGTGGAAGGACGACTTGTGACTGTTTGTGATGCAGTTGGGGTAGCATTGGGAACAGCACTAGTCTTGGTTGGTTGCTGCTGCACTTGGGTAGAAGGCTGGGCTAGTGGCTGGCCACTCGTCCCATTCACAAGGGTTTGGTTTCCGCCATGGGTTTGATGCGCGTTATCCGTAATCTTTGATGTCCTTCTCCTCCGTTGAGCTGGAAATCTCCCCAAGTCTGGTAAGCCATCGATTAAGTGGCCTTGACCTTTTTGTGCTTTCTGATGTGCAGGAGCCGCAACTGGTGCTGGAGCCGACGCTGAAGCTGGAGCTGGAGCTGAAACTGGAGCCGGTGCTGAACTTGGAGCCATTGTTGAAGCTGTAGCCATTGTTGAAGCCGGGGCCGTTGCTGGAGCTGCTGCCGCCGGAGCAGGACTAGTCTTAGCCGACTGCTGCTCTCCTTGGGCAGGAGCTTTCGACGCAGGTGCTGTTTGACCGCTTGTCTGGCCCTAGAACAGAGACAGAATGTAAGCAGAGACAGAATGTAAGCAGATGATTCTTAGCGATACTAGCAATTAGGTTTGAGCAAATTCGACCAACCTTTTTTAGGTCCTCCCAGAGCTTCGTGAATAAGGCAGGGTCTTTAGATCGCCACTTTCGCAGCTTCTCGAGCATAGCTTTCATCTCAGTAGCCATGTCTTCCTCCAGTTCCTGCTCCGACTGTTGAGCTGAGGACGATGATGCAGGCTGGCTTGCCTCTTTGGTAGAAGACGTCGTCGGCTTGTCACTTGTAGAAGGTTGCTGATTAGAAGACTGGGGTTGCGCAGATGGAACCCGGTTGGACTTGTCCTGTTCCCTTCTTGCCCCTGCCTCCATTTCCGCAGCTCTCAAATGCTCCTGTTCTTGACGGTACTGTTGAAGATACAACTCATTCGGGTTAATATATTGAACACGAGGAGGTGAGATCTGTTCTGGAGGCTCGTTGGCTTCAGTCAAGAATGCCATATCTATTCTGCTACTAGGAGACCCATTCGGGAATTTGTGTGCCATCGAGGGTTGTGGAGGACTCTGTAGCTGCGGATTCCGCATTGAACCGCTCGAAACCGGAATCGACTGCGTAAATGCGGAAGTAGAGCTGGAAATGGCTTGTCTGTTAAACTGATCGGGGTTTGAGTAAGCCGCGAAATCGCGCGAGTTATTAGAGGATACCTGGTTATTGTGGCTTGAGGTACGACTAGCTGTCGGAATAGTCGACGTGAGGGGAGATGAGCAGCTAGGCTGGTGATTTGAGCCTTCAGACCCACGACTGCTGACCCTATTATAAGTAGAGACGCCATTCGCCGCAGAGTCGTTGGAGATCACGGATTGGCCAGAGTTTGAGGATGCCAAATTCGGATAAGGGCTCCTATAATTGGAGTAATAATTCTGGTATGATGGAGGAACCGAAGAAGAAGCCATGACTGGAGGCGATCGACCAGGCATCTGGGTCTGCTGAGAGCCACCGAACGAAGACGATGATCGCGCCGCATTAGAAGGCTGAGACGTCCTAGCTTGAGATTGGAAAGAGTCTTTGCGAGCATGATTCTCAGCGGACTTCGGAGTCCTTGACTGGGCCATCTGGTTTTTGCGAACTGCCGACTCCAACGCAGACACGTAAATCAAACTGTTCAAACCCGAATTGTCCTGCGAGTACGAGGCTTGAGACCGTGCGGCGACGGGACTTGTGGTGATCGACGGCAGATCGCCCGACTGATGATGAGATGAAAAGCCTTGCTGGTGGGCGTAAACATCGTTGTTGCCAGAGTACGGACTCCTGTAGTTTCCGAATTGATGATCGTTCAAGCCAGACGCTCCGGCGGAACTTTGCTGCGTTTTACAGTCGTAAGGAGCGTCTCCAAAGCCCTGCGTGGGCAAGGGAGGCTGTCGGCTCGTGGAGAACTGCGCAAGGTCCTGCTCACTGTCGGCTGCTCCATATCGATATGGATTGTAGGGAACATTTGGGCACGACGACATGAGCGAACTTCAGAACGAGGCGGATCGATGGCGCGTGCAGTGCCTCTATAATCGCCGTATCAGGGAGTCTTGTGAAATGCTCGTGCCATCAATCAGCATGGCGTCGTCGAGCGCGCCAGCGGAGGCGAAATTCGAGACGTAAACGTGGGCAGACGCGTCGGAAGGACTCGAGTTTTCAGACCTGCTATCCGCGACCAGTACTGCTTTCCGGCGACCGCTTCCTATTATCCGATCAGACGCGCTGAGGTCTGCAGAAGAGAGTGTAGATGGATCGATTTATCGACACGACTCAAGCAGGCGCGGACTCGGACGCGGGACAGGACGTCGCTCGGGTCAGCTTCTCGTCGGCGGGCGAGAGGATTGAATTATTCCCAAGAAGGTCAAGCGCCGGGGGAGAGCCGCGCTGACCAATCGGCGCAGAGCAGGCAACCCTACGCTAAGCGGCCGGTCATGTGACGCACAGTCACACACATTTTCGGCTAACAATTCGAGATCGAAAGACCTTGAAGCGAAGAAGTCTCCGACGCCTACGACGACAACTGCACCACGACCCTTCTCAGAGCCCGATTGCCTACCGACGCAGGCTCTGCAAAAATGGTGAAGATCAATCCCGGTGCGTGACCTTTCCTTTCCTTTTTGTTGGGCCGGTGGAGAGTGAGAGGAAATTGGTTTCTCTCACGGGTGGGCAAGATGAAAATCAGATGGCGGTTGCTATGAACGCCGGAAGTTCGCCAGACAGACAGAAATACTGACGAGAATTTCTACAAACAGCGGTCTCCTCCTCGCGGCGGAAGTCGCGCAAGGCGCACTTCAGTGCTCCTTCCAGCGTGCGTCGAGTGATCATGAGCGCTCCTCTGAGCAAGGAGCTGCGTGAGAAGTACAATGTATGCCCGCCATCATGCCAGTCCTCGTTTTCTTTCCTTTGCAAATAAACGTGCACAACTCGACCATTGTCTCGACCGTTGTTGCTATTTGGGAATCGTCCAAACTTTTGAAAGAATCAAGCCCGGTCTGACTTCTCCCACAACAGGTCCGCTCGATCCCCATCCGCAAGGACGACGAGGTCACCATCGTTCGGGGCTCCAACAAGGGCCGTGAGGGCAAGGTCACCAGCGTGTACCGTCTCAAATACGTGATCCACGTCGAGCGCGTCAACCGCGAGAAGTCGAACGGCCAGACCGTGCCGATTGGCATCCACCCGTCCAAGGTCGTCATTACCAAGCTGAAGCTGGACAAGGACCGTGAGAACATCCTGGAGCGGATTGGCAAGGGTCGTGAGGCGAGGGCGAAGGCCAAGTCTGCAGCGTAAGCGGAAGGCGGAGTCGAATGTAACGTTTTCTGATTGATTGAATTTATGTGGTAACGGTGTGGAATCAAAAATTTCTTTCATTTATTTCTTTTTTTCAACGGGGAAAAAAAGAAATCGTCATCATCACCATCCACATGAACCCGACAGGATATAGGATCCGCGAGGTGAATGTATGAGAGACAAACAAAACAAAAATCGGCTGGCTTTGGGGCGATGGCAGGATGTTATCGGCGTCAATGTCATTTCTTTTTTTCCTTTATGGATGCTGCAAATAGGTACCCGACCCGTCAGACTCAGAGCTACAGCTGAATGGAAGAAAGACATAACTTGAGAACGAAAAACTCGTTTCGTCTCGATAACAAAGAAAACAGTCATGATATGATGATCACGATACTACTAACAGAAGCACAGAAAACAGGTAAAATCAATCCCTCCCCTCCCATCCCCGACCCGTTCCCGTGATTGATCCCCTCCCACCCCGATCTATATCTACATATATCCCATCAAAGCAACCACACACGAACACACACGAACACACACACAAAGAACAAGACAAAGTGCAGCCGCTAGTTTATCTCCTCGCCAAGCCACAAAAACTTCTTCTTAGCTAAGTGAGAAGTTTCCCCATGGTTAGTGAGGTATACGGCTAGCGCAGATCGAACTCCAGAAAAGGGCGCAATTATACATCACATAAGTGTATATAGATATGCCCTTCTGGCTCACTCGCAGACTCGTTCTGAGGGCTTGGAGGGATTCCAAGGTCGAGGAGGGTGCGGGTTTGATGGTGAGGGACATGACATTGCATCCATCGATTCATTCAGGTCGATATCTCTTAATAGTAATCTAGTAATGTAATAAAGTTGTTGTTTCAAGCAAATGGATAGCAAGTTTCTCATCCATAATTTCTACTTGCAGAGCAGAAAAGAACAAGTCACTCGATAGTGTTCTGTTCCTTGATTATCTAGGTACATACATACACTCATGTAGTACACAATAAAATAAAATAAAAATAAGAAACAGAGAACATGAACCTAGCTAGATCACAGAAAACAACCTGGTTTCCTTTTTCGCATCAACAGACATCGTTCCAGTAGAAGTTCAAAAAAAAAAGGCACACACCCGGGAGAACAAAGAAAAGAAACCCGCTCACGCCATAAGTCGTGTTAAGATGCAGACGCATGCCGATTCGTAAAAGAAAATAAAAATAAAAATAAAAATGAGGTTAGTAAATTTTAGCAAAGCAAAGCACGTAGAAGATTTCTACCTGCAGGGTCTCTCTTTAAGGCCCTCTCAAGGGAAAGAAAACTACTTTTTCAAGACGACGACCCAACACACTTCCCCCACCCCGGCAGCCCACAGGCCATACCGACAAAGAGGTAGATGAGGAAGATAACGACAATGACCAGCAGCACCAAGACCTTGACATTCTTCCACCACATGCGGCGGCGCAGCCCGCGGCTGCGGACGCGGAAGTCGTGCGCGCTGCCGCCCAGCCGATCCGTCTTGTCGACGAGGAGGTCGATGCGGTCGCCGCGCTCGAGCACGCGCTCAATGTTCTCCGTCATGATGTCGCGCACGCTGTCGATCTCGCGGCGGGCAGAGGCCAGCGAATCCGAAGGTGCGGCGGTGTTGTACGTCTGCAGGAGCGCGCGCAGCTCGTTGTTGAACGCCGCGCAGCCGTAGGCTGGCAGCGCCGCGAAGTCGGTCGTCGAGGGAGGGTACTGCGTCAGGAACTTGCGCTTCATCTCTAGCAGGAACGCGAACGGGATGCGGCGGCCCAGCTCGGCCGTCGCGACGACGAGGTAGCTGAGGGACGAGTGTGAGGAAATCTCCTGCCGCTGCGGCCCGTCTTCGGCCGTCCCTGACGGCGAGTCGGCGATGTAGTGCACAAAGAGGCGGTCATGGGTATAGGTGAGTTTCTGGGCCTTGTTGTGGGAGATCTTGGGGAGGATGATCGAGGCGAGAGACGACGCCGACGTTGAGGAGGCGCCAGGGGAGGAATGTTCCGCGAGGATGGTGGTCCCATGGGCCACGCAGGAGCTGTAACACCCTTGTCAGCTTTCTTACAACCTTCATTTCAAAGTGAATGCATTTAGAGGCCGAATTTCTATGACAATGCTGGGGGGCAGGTCTGAGAGCAACTTACTAGAGAAGGGAGCTTGACGGCCGCGATGACGACGCCATCGGGAAACACGTTCAAGTAAATCTCAAAATCGAGCACTGCTCACTCAGCAGCGAGAGATGATTCTTTCCAAAGAGCCAGAGGAGAGTCCAGGGACCCAGGAAGAGATGGCGGTGTCCAATGGACGCGAGGTTGATGCCTGTGACGTCGGCGTCTCCGTCGATAGAGCCGGGGATAGCGTCACGTGGACCGTTAGCTGTATCCAGCAAAAACATATCCAAAACTAAGTCAATCAGGGCTGTCGGAAATTATTACAGCCTGTTAAATTCTTCGAACAACTTTAACTTGTGGTATAGAGTATGCACAGTCTAATTCTCGGATTTAGCATCGTTTATTCAACTTCCTTCCTGGCAGTCTACTCGCCATAATAGGAAGATCTATGCCCTAATTGATCTGCTCCATATATTACATGCACCGTGTATTTGTCAATCCACAACGCCAGATGCGAAAAAAAAGAGTCAGGGAAAGGGGGGAAAAAAACAAGAAAATCTATCGCAAAGGAGTGGGTATCTCTGTACGCTTGGGTATGCTGCCGTTGACCCAACAGATCCATCCAACCGACCATATAAAACAACGGAAAAAAAAAGCAAAGGAAAGAAATTAAAGAACGACAGTATAGAAACTCAGCTATAATGAAGACAAGGAAGACAAGAATAATAGGGAAAAAAAAAGCTCCTGAAAGTTCTCGTTATGAATCCCCACGACTGTCAGTCCTCGCATTCCCATTCCCATCTTCTCTGCTTCCATCTCGATAGGCATTGCCGCTTTTCATCTTTCGTAGAGCAGCCGCCCGTCTCGCCACGACATCCTCTCTCCGTACCACGTTCCTTAACGCCTCACTCGCCTGGATCAGTCCATCAATGCTGATGGCATGATTGGTCATTTGATGGTTCACATAGGTGTAGACAGCCGCAGGAGTCGAGCACGTCGTAAGCAGCTGGTGCTCATTAAGCTTGAGTAAGGCCAGGGCAACCTGGAACAGAAACGTGCTGCCACCGCCACTGCTGGCCGCCTCCTCTTCTGCATCAGCACCATTGGGATTGGCAGAGGAACTCCCATCACGGGCGGCGGGATTCGAGCCTGCAGACCCGCCTTGAACGGTGCTGGTAACGTTCAAACAAAGGACCACATCCCAGACACGGTAGAGAGCTTCTGCAGAAAGACAGTCGGTGAAGATGGACAAAAACCACTGGAACGTCAACGCCTCCAGCTCAATCCCCAGGTTGTCCAGGTGAGCCGAGAGCTTAGGCAACACTTCCGCTATATACTGTCGGAGCACCTGTTGGTCAGCCCTCGAGGCGAGAAGGCCATGATCATAGTAATGCTGTGGCAGAATGTTCTCGATCATCGAAGCCAAAATCCAAAAGGCGTCCTCCGCTGTCGGCATGATCAAAAGCAGAGAAGCCGCGATGAGGTTCATTCCTTGGCAGTATCCGACTTCAGGATTGCGGCGGGAATATGCCAACAGAACGTCCTTGAGCTTCGAAACACCAGGGCCCTTCCGGAAGAAGACATTATCAGTCAAGGTGCGATGGATGTCCATCTCAATCTGTGCGACCACAGAGGGGTCAGGATCGGGTACGCCGACTCCTTTCACAAGATCATCGTAGTAGCCGGGAATACGCATCGCGGACGCACCGCTGCATTCGGCCCAGATCTTCGCACGATGCGCGACTGGTATCCCTCCCAGGACCAGAGCTCGGAATTCCCGCCATTTGGCGCGGCCCACTTTGCCCTTGTTTCCTAGACCTGCGATGCCCACCACTTCACCGTCCGCAAGCGAGGCTTCTGGCATGGCGAGCGACAGATTGGCTCGTTCTGGATCCATAGCCGCTGCCGCTTCGCCTTCCCGTCGACGCTCGGCACGGACCTTTCGCAAGAACTCGTTCCACTTCTTGGTCCGTTCCCGCTGAAGGGCGTCGTGAAGTTCTGTCAGTTGCTCGAGGAGCATTCTCACCGGCTCCTGTTCGTTGGCTGTGGTCTTGGTATCTGCCACTTGTTGATTCCGAGCTGCGGAGTTGGCAAATTCTGGGTTATCTGCTACTACTGTCGACGTGGACGCAGAGGGCTGCGTACTTGAACTAACAGATACAGTACCTCCCTTATCGATAGCGACGGAAGAGGTGCGCGGCTTCGGTTCGTCCCCTGTCGTTATCCCAACGATGGGCCCTGCAGAGGGTGTGTGCGCCAGAAGTTCGGTTGGTTTCGTAGCAATCTTCAAGTAATCCTGCCAGCGTTTGGGGGCAGGAGCGTCATTTTCCGGATCCTCCATCGACACAGGCGTCCCTGGACGCGGCGAGGTCACAGCCGACTCCAACCGTTGTGGCTGATCATCGTCATCACCCTCATTGTCTTCTGGCGGATCCTCGCTGCGGAAACTGCTAATTGTCTCCGCCATACTCGTCCGATTGGCATTCTTTCTCAGCAAAGTCGCTTCCCTCTGCCTCTTTTTGCGGCGTTGATCGTAGATGAAACCGAACCGATCCGTCAACAGTTCTCCTGGCTGATAGTTATTGTAAGTGTAATTGAGCGTGGGCGGCCGAGAATCCATTGGCAAGATGGCATCCATCTCGACTGGACCCAAGTTGGTCGAAGCGTCGCCGGTATTCCGTTCCGAGTTGGAACCCTGCGACACACTGGTTGCGGCAGCCCTTCGCCCAGCTTGTTGAGGCGCCCTATTTGCGCCTCCAGAAGAAGCGGATGACCGGCCCGGCAAGGTGCTGACGCCCGTGTAACTGTTGATCCGCTTCAGGGCAGCTACTGCGGACAGCCCACCCTTGGCGGAAGACGAAGGCGCAGCAGCTGATGAATTGTTTTTGCCCTTGGCCTGTCCTGTGGACGAAGCCCGACTGCCGCCATTTTTGGCAGCAGCCGCGTCCTTGGACGCCTGAGAGTTACCAGCAAACAGCTTGACAGTCCAAGAAGACAACGACTTGGACGACTTGCGTGAATGAATGCTGGAATTATCATCATTGTTGACAGCTGATGTAGAATCCTTCCCCCGTGGAATCCCTGCCGGAGACTCAGACCGTTCTTCGGGAGGCTGGAAGAGCTGCTCATCGAGTCCTTTGCGGCGGCCAGTCGTACTACCGCTGGGAATCCGAGAACGCCCGGCGTCCTCTTCCACGTCGTCAATATCGCTCATTACACTACTGGCCCGGCTGGTCTTGCGACTCGCATTGGTGCTGCCGAAGAGATAGTCCTGCCACCCACGCAGGGATCCCTGCGCTCGCTTTTGTTGTCCCGATTCGACGCTCGAGGTACCCGATCTCGCGTCGCTGTCATTGCGCTGCGGACGAATAGTCGCCTGCAAATCCGTACTGTCGGGGGAGGATTCGCCAACAGGGTCCAACATAGCCTGGTCCATGAGCCCATAAATGCTGGATGACCGCTTTGTCCGATTGGCGCCATTCTCGCCCTCCTTTGACTCGTCCGTCGCTGGGTTCTCCAACAGATACAGCCTGCGCTCGATGTCCTGGCTCGACACCGAAACCTCCCGGAGCATTTTCTTCAGCTCCCTCTCCCGCGCGTCGGCGCGTCGGCGGAGTTTCGAGATCTCCGCATCCCGCATCGCCAGGTCGCGTGCGAACTGCCGCACGAGCTTGACTGGTCCTGTCCGTTCGAGAAGACGTTCAATATGCGCGTCATCCGCGAGATGCAAGGCGCCGGGGATATCTGGACTCAAGACGGAGTCGTCAAATAACGCGGGGCGGCCCGAGCCATGGGACTGAGACGAGGTGAGCCTGTCCAAGGCGGCTTGGCGACCGCAATTGCCTTCGCGAGTATTATTTGCACCGTCATCACTCAGCAGGGCCTCACTGAGGGCGTAGGTCAAAGCCGGCTCGCCGCGGAACCCCTCGGGGGAGCTGTCCGGAGAAAGCGACGGGAAGGAGGTCAAGTCGGCGATGGTGGCATTGGAGGACGTGGAGTGACGCTTGTACGCCTTGGACCGGACCGTCTTGGCCTTCTGGCTCCTGCGAGATGACGAGGAGGCTTGCGACGACGAACGGCGTTGGGGAGGAGCCGTTATGACGTCCGCCATGACTCGTGGGGGGCAGGTGTGCACAGCAGACGCAGTGACGGCGGGTTGGGGGGCGTCATGAAGGCTCGACTGGCAGAGACAGGGCGATTGTTGCTAATTAACAGGGGGAGCAGAGGCTGGGCTGGGCTGGGCTGGAGCAGGAATGTGAAGGGAAGGGATGGAGAGGGGCGGACAGGCAGCACGAGACGATCAGGCGGAGAAGAGCTGCTGCGATCGCGATCCTGCCAATCGGCCAGTCCCAATCGGAATGACGTGCAGCCCCGAGCGGATGGTTTCTCCGGCCGCGCCAGCAGTCGCGATTTCTTCTAATTATTATTAATTACAGAGTACGATGGAGTACAACGCAGTAGATGAGTTTTCAATTATCAGGCCGTTCCCTTGGTTCGTCTATCCTCGATTACATAATGTGCTACTATAAATGCACACTCCGGACGCCCATCCGATACACTCCGATGGAAGACCCGCAGGACACTATTTTGCTCTCGATCAACTATCAATGTCTGTGGCAAGTCTGAACTTGAAGTCTTCCTCAGGAAAGACCAAGTGAGCCCCGACGTCAGAGTATACACAGAGTCTGTACAGTACAGTACATTGAATGGTTCGGACAGGCTTGGAATGGTGAACTTGGGTCTGGACGGTATAGTCCCAAGCTCATATGTACTCTGACAAGATAGCGATCATATCCATCAAGCGATTCAAGCCAGCTTCCCTGGGATAACCGGATGGCCGGCGCTCAGCCCGCCACAGACCGCCCAGGCCTGGCCGTTCACGTAGCTGCTCTCGTCGCTGCCCAGGAACAGGGCGACACGCGCCACTTCGTCCGCCACGGCTCCTCGCCGCAGCGGGTTCAGCTGCCCGATCTTCCGCTCCGTGCCGCGGGCCCGCGCGGCCTCGTACATGGGGCGGGTCATGCCCGTCTCGACGATGCCCGGGCAGATGGCATTGACGCGCACTCCCGTGCCTGCCAGCTGGAAGCAGGCCGTCTGCGCGATCGAGATCACGGCTGCCTTAGAGGCGGAGTAGTCGGTCGAGCCGGCATTGGAGCGGAGGCCAGCGACGGAGGCGGTGCAGATGATCGAGCCGTTGGGATAGGGTTTGGAGGGAGAGGTAATCTGCATGGCGGGGGCGGCATATTTGACGGCAAGAAAGACACTAATCACCCATTAAATGACTGTAAAAAAGACTGTCATTTTTCTCTGAGGGAGCCCTACCTCAAGGTATTCGTTTTCAACGTGTGCATAAACTGGTCCGAGTCGATTTCCGTAAAGACCTTGGGTTGCCCGATGATGCCAGCGTTAGCAAACATGATGTCTAACCGGCCGTACTTGCTGATAGCATCGTCGACGACGGCCTTGACGGACGGCTCATCAGCGGCGTCAAACTGGCGCACATGGACGTCGACACCGGGGTAGAGGGACTCGATCTCCCGCTTGTGTGTAGCGAGATGCGACTCGTCGTAGTCGCAGAGGTAGACGGCCTTTGCGCCATTGCGAGCGAACTGGTGGGCGCTGGCTCGCCCGATGCCCAGGGGGGAATTGGCTCCTTGCATCAGACAAAAGTTAATAGGCAGGCATGCTTCCAACTTCTAAACTGGAAAAAAAAAGGCTCACCTGTAACAATAACAACTTTGTCCTTGACTCTCCTGTATAGCAGGTCAGTCAGCTTGACAGCGATTCCACTAGTAAGTAACCTCAGGTACACCAGCTCAAACTCACGGCCCAACCGAGTCTGGAGCAACCTGACGGATTCGAGGGATATCCTCAAATGTTCCTGCATCGGGGATTCCCTCGACGAGCTGCTGGCTCAGCGCCTGGAGACGCTGCTTTGCTGCGGATGTCATGGCTCAGTGTATGTACTGCTCATGCGACACGCGACACTACTATACTAGTACTGTACAGTACACAGAATCCAGTGTTTTGTATGAGAAAACGACAATCCGCTTCGAATGGTATACAAATCATGAAATAAGTCAATTCACAATCCGAGTAGTTACCTCAGGAAATTGTGCATCGAGACGGACGCGCTGGGCGTCTCTGCGGAGACAGCTCCGTCGATTGCCCCGTTCGGCTGGCAATTTGCGGGGAACCGAGGATGTGCTGCACGTTTATGTCAGCGTTGCCGATATTAATCACAGTATCAGCTGGATACCTGAAAAAGATAATAATAAAAAAAGAAAAAAGAAATGCAAGTGCTAGTGACAGGAGAAAATATATTCCTGCACTTTCTTTTTTGGCAATATTTCTTATTTTACAGCACAATGACATCCGCTGTTCTTCCACCCAGGGCTATATATATAAAGATATCAAATCTGCCATAAACAACACATCTACACCATGCCAACTCCAGTATCCACTTTCTAACCACCAACTTACTTAATATCATCTCACTAATTTTATATTATCCATATCACAATATACAAAAGACTCTTACAATCTGATAATTTCCACATATCCTCTGCATTAGCTTTCTAAAATTTATACTGTGGTGGATCGTCTCCAGTTCTTCTAACATCGGAACCTCTTTCATACTGTACATACAGCACAATGCATTGACTCACTCAGATGAACTCCAATAGATTATAGAGCAAGCAATTCACGTGGTTCTCACAGCCCTAAGTTCTGTCCGTATCACAGGAAAGAAAGAGAGACAACTCAGACTAATATCAATCTGCAGCATAGCAGGAGGTAACACCTCCCCCCATCTTTGCTCCTTTTTTTGTGTGCATCTACTTCTAGATAGATTAAAAAAAAAACACTAATCACTGCCTCCATAGGCCATTGACTCATTTATCTATTGTCTGTACTGTACAGTACATCCTGTGAAGGAAGCCCTTGAATCATACCATACTATACCATACCATGCCCAGAATTAGATCTAGGCGTGAGCGTGAGCAGCAGTACCTAGCACTGATGACAGTGTCAGCATCCAGCAGCCAAACACATCCAGATATATTCATTCATTCACCTCCTCTTCTTTCTCGGCAGGAGATATAGCACACCATTTTTTTATGGACATAATTTTCTCTGACCATGTATGTCACTGACAAACAATGCTCGGCATGATCATCTCACTCAGGATCTATCTGCATCTGCCTGCTTCCTATTTCCTGCTTCCCCAGCCGCTTGTATTCTCTCCATCTATCACCCCCAATATCCCTTCTGCTCATCACCTTCATCTGGTCATTTACCATATCCTACACAATCGAAGCCGTTGAATAGATCGAAATTCACGCGTTTTTCATCGACTTACTTCCTTCACTGCAAGCAAGACAGAGAAAGTCCTACCCGTCAGGGGTAACCAAAACGAAGAAAGAAAGAATCTAGAAAAAAAAAATCTAGAAAAAAAAAGGAAATGGACCTCAAAGACCCTCCTTCCGAGACCTCCACCGAGAAGACCGAAAATGAAAACGAAAAGACCTCCAACGAACCCCAAACCCGCAGAGGAAGCTACCTATCTCCTCCGGGATTGATGCAGTGCGTTATATACTTATTTCCCCTATCTCACCCAACCTACCTAGGTATGTACATTACTTGTCTGACTATTATGTACTACTGCCAGCCTCTTCAACTCACCCAAATTCTCCGACTTCACCATCCGCGTCGCGGGACGGACGTTCCACGCACACAAGGCCATTCTGAGCTGCTACTCTGCGTATTTTCATAATCTGTTTCGGGGGGATTGGATGGTATGTACATACCTACCCTACATACTGAGTATATGGACTGCTAACGCATGTCATTTTGTATGTATAGGAAACATCCTCCAACACAATCGACCTAAACGACGACGATCCCTACGCCGTAGAAGCCATGCTCCAACACCTCTACGACATGGAATACAGCAACATGCAGCATCCGGGCTTGTCAGTCGAACTCTTCGATGCTAAAGTCTACGCCATCGGCGAGAAGTACGGGATTCCGAGCCTGAAGATCGACGCGAGACGCATGTTCGCGGCGCAGTTGAAGTACGGGTGGGAAGGGGTTGATTTCCCGTCTTCTATTGCGGAGGTCTATGCTAGCACGCCGGCTACTGACCGCGGGCTGCGCGATATTGTCACTGAAGTGTCCTGTGAGCATTTGAAGGATCTTCTGGAGAAGGAGGCGTTTCTTCAGGTTTTGGTTGATGCTAATGGCTTTGTCTTTGACTTGCTCCGTTATTTGAACGACAAGCTAGAATCGCGCAGACGCTGAGGCCGGTCAACTATGTCCGTCTACCACGGGTGGAAAGGACGACCAAGTTTGTCATCGACACGGCGCAAGAAGACTACATTGGAACTCTTAATCTTGATCTGTAAGCTAACGAATGGACGGAAATATCTCAATTCAGCAATCCTTTCCAACCCCTTCCGATCCAGTCGGGTCGGAGGCACACGCGAAGATTTTAAATACACAGAAACAAAGAGAGTGACGTTGTAGAGACACCGGTCAGTAAACACATAGGAAAAAGGATCGAGGGCAACTAGACCCATTTACACAAGAATCTCCCCCACAAGCCAATACTATACAGAGGATCGATGGGGAAAGGGATGGGGATCCAACAATCAAGGGGGGAAAAAAGAACAAATCCACTGTCGAGTCTCTCCATACAACACGAGTAAAACGAGACCCGCCAACAACCCAAGATAAGCTCGTACAAGAAAGAGATCCACCATCCAAAGAAGAAAAAAAGAGTCAGGGGGAATAGGGCAGCAATAAAAACGATATAGATAAAAACCACAGATAGCGCCATAAAAAAGTCAAATTGCAGTAAAATCAGCTTTTTTTTTCTCTTGCGCAATACCACAGATCGTGCTTCTCATTGCATCCAATGACTCTCTCGTCTGGGCAGACAGCTCATCAGGGCATCAATCGATCTCTGCCTTACGAGACAATTCGAGCCGCGTTTGGTTGCATGAGATCCGAAGTGGGTTGCTTGGGAAGAGTGGTCTCGGTTGGCACGTCAAGACCATCGGTTTCGTGAGCATGCTCATCGTCATCTTCCACAATCTTGGTGGGAATTTCGCCCGGCGAGTACTGCTGGCTCGACCTCTCCGGGATCGTCGAGCTGCTGACCATCGACATCGACGTGCTGGAACGGTTGTGGACCAGATCGGGAGTGGGGGGGATGCTGGAGGAGCGTTGGTCCGCGTTCAGGAAGCTGCTCTCGCCTTCACCCATCTCGCTGGCGTCCTCGCGAGTGGACTGGTCCCGTCCATCCTCGGATGGGGCCTGGTTGCCACCCTCCGGGTCCAGTTTGTCCGACTCGTCCGTGATCACTTCCTCCTCGGCATCCTGGGCGAGGTGCAAGCCTTCGACGGCGGCGGCACACTGTTCGCTGATGTTGCGGATAATCGCGGCAATCGCATCGGTCTTATCTTTCAGATACCGGTCGGCCACGTCGGGCATGCTCATCTGGGAGAGGCGACGCTGTCTCTTGTCCATATTCAGCATATGCTGCTCCATTTCGGGAGAGACATTGTCACCCACACTGCTAGCACGGCTGCCCGCGGTCAACCGGATCCGAGATGACGGGCGAGAAAGACGTCTCAATGATTTATTGTCCGATGCGGGCTGCCGGGTAGTAGTAGTCTCCGCAGAGTCGTCGTCTCCCTGACCTTGGTCGACATAGTCGCTGAGTTCGGTCGAGTTCTGAATGTTGCGGATGATGTGTTCCATGTGGTGGGTCTGGCCTTCGATCAAGCTGCGGAGGTGCACCACAATGCGCTGAGCCTCGTCGCGCTGGCGAGTCAGAGTCGCGGTGGTGTGCTGCAGAGCAGCCAGCTCCTTCTGGTTCCGCTTGCGCTCCCGTTCGAGTTCCTCCGCAATTTCTTGCTGCAGAACCAAAGCCTCCAAGGCGTCGTCACGCTGTTTCTCGGTCCCAGAAAGACGGAGCGTAAGACGAGCCAGATCATCCTTCTGTTGGTCGATGAGGGCGGTAAGACGGCGGTTTTCACGCTTGTGATTCTCAATCTTGACCTTGAGCTCGGAGGTCTCCTTCGTAAGCTGCTCAGCAAACGCTTGGAATTTGAGGAACTGCAATCGATCAAACCGTCAGTACTACAAACCCCCACCAGTCGGGTCGAGGATCAAATGGAGCGTTACCTGCTGCTTCCAGGTCTCCAATTCTTCCACCAAAAAGTTGTTGCGTTTCGTGACCTTGGAAAGCTCGGTGTCCATCCGGCCTTTGAGGTTGATAAAGTCCTGCCAGGCTTCCTGAGCATCCCGGGAGTACTGGTTGCGTTCCCGCACAATCTCGTTCAAGTGTCTCATCGAGACCTTGGTCATGAGAGGCTTCTTGACGGAGCCACCGAAAAGAGCTTTCACACCGGTGTTGCGGCCCTAAAAGACGAGTTAGTTAGTAAGACCGTTTGATCGGACTTCCCGACGCCAGAAGACTCACCAGTTTCTCACACACGTGGTCCATGACACTCATCACCGCATCTTGGTTCCACCAGGAAGGATCCTGAACACTCTCCACTTCACCCTTCATGACAATGATCTGACCCGCGGGAACCAGTTTCCCACCCCAATACGCGGATCGGAGGTGCTGGGGCACTCCCGACGGGGTTACCTCGCCATTCAAGGCATTGGTCAGACGGTTAATGAATTTGGTGCGTTGACCCGGAGTCAGAACGTTGGGAGGGTTCGAGGTCAGGACAAAGTTGCGGTCCAGATCGACCACGAGCGCATCCGACGGAGCCGTAAACAGAGAACGACACTCGGCCGTGATACCCAGGATGTACGGACCGGGTTCCTCGACGAGCTCCTTCGCATGACGGGCGTGCACCACGGGGACGTAGAGACCACTCCATTCGTAGACGCGCACGCAGAAGCGGATGGTTTCGGCGGCCACGGTCAACATTGCCGGGTAGTGGCTGACGAAGATGATTCGGCGGGTGGGCGACACGGCGGCCTCGATGACGCCGACGATGTTGGGGATCGACAGGCAGCAGAACAGGGGCCACATGGCGAAGTTCTGGAAACCGGTGGGCGAGGACGGGAACTGATAGCAGAGCGCGTAATCCTTCATGTCGATCCGAACCAAGTCGTTGAGACGCGGGGCAGGGAAGCTCAAGATGCGAGAAACCTCTTCGGCGTGGAAGAGGTTGGTCGCCTTGTTCCAATGGATCCACATGCCCCGGAGGTAGTCACCCAGCAGGTCGTACAGAGGATAGCGGGACAGGAAGCTCAAGCAGTAGGGAATCCAATAGGTCTCGTCGGGGTTGTCGAAGAAATCCGGTTCGGTCTTCTTGCGCAATTCGCGGATCGTTTCGGCACGCTTCTCATCTGCGCGAGACCAGACACGCAGCGCGATACCGTAGAGGGTGTGAGAAGAGTCCTGCTGGAGGACAAAAGCATGGTGCACACAGTGCGGTTGAGTCTTGCCCGTGCAAATCTCGACATCATGGGGGAAGCAGGCCTGGAGATTTCCATGTCAGCACGAGAACGACGAAGCGGGATTGAAGAGGCAGGTTTTGCTGACCCTCATGGCGGCATGGAGAGCGCGGGCAATCTCATTGTCGGATTCCAGTCTGGGACTACTGCCCAGAATCTCGGGCAGCCAGAATTGGGGGACTGCGCCCTTCATGTGCTGGATTTTACCCTGGGGAGGCGGCGGAGCCTTGACCCATTGGGAGGGCTCGCGGCCCACGCCGCAGACCATGTACGCATGGGTGAGAGTCTTGGGGGTTCGCTGGGCAGGCTTGAGGTTGAGCGTGGACGGGATGGGCTGAGTGATGCGGGAATGCAGCGACGAGGTGCGACTGGGGATAATGAGGGAATTCTCGCCTTGATCCCGAGTCATCGGCCGGTCACGGGTTGAGGGACGGACAAAGGATCCATGATCTCTCAAAGATGGACCCATTTTGAAACGATTCTCGGTGATGTCGCGGTGGTTCTGCTATCAACGAAAGGCGAAACACGATCGTTTCTCTCGAATTCTTCTGGCGAGGACTGCACGTCGAGTCGATGCGGACAGGGAATCGCTCTCGAAGACGATTCCAACGCCGATAATCCAACAATCGCGTGCACGACGCGATTCAGACAGACACGATAGTCGAAAAGGGGGTAGGAAAACAAACGAGTGCTGAGCCAGGACCAAGCTGTCCTGAGGCAGGGAAAAACTCAGATCGAACCCGGTTCACTCCCAGAGCGAGGATTGCAACATCTCCTGGATGACCTTGGGGATGCCAGACAGGTCGAGAAGCACGGAGTCTCCTCGACGGCGGCAGCGGCGGGTGACAAAGGAGAGAAGAGAGAGACGGGAGAGAATGAAGACAAAGGTCTCGGTTGAGCAGGGAACGGCCGGGAGGGGGGCCAGCGGGAGGAGAAGAAGGGGAGGGAGGGCCCAGGACGGGCAGGGTTGACTCTGGAGGACGACCCCTGGGCGCTGGTCCGAGTGCCAATAGACACATCCAGCGCGCAAGCGATCTCCATCACGCACGCCTTCGCAGCATCGCCGGCGATGAGGCGCTAGCAGCAGTTCGGGCGAACCGTGAGCTGCCTCTTTCCGGGGGGAGACCCGCTGGCTGGCTGCTAGCCAGGCACACGGCGACCCTAGCGCGGGCCTAGCACGACACCGCCCGCCATGGCTGGCCCCCGATGCGTGCCCTGCGACACCGGTGCCTGGGCCTGTGCTCTGCATCTCCGCCTGCACGAGTCCCATATCTTTGCATCTGGGCCCGACTAGCAGGCCCGTCGTCGTGGAACAGGAGACAGAAACACCGCCAGAGAGGGTCTTATCGAGCAAAAAGCTCCTATCGAGTTGGGAGGAGAAGAAAGGAACAATAGTAGCCGGAGGGCCGGAGGTTGCTCCTTCTGCCAGGATCCCGAGCAAGGTTAGGCAGGCGCCTCGTCCCTCTGGAGGAAAAAGGAAGGAACCACGCGGAAGCTCCGAACCGGAACCAGTTCTGCAGAAGAGAATTTCGGCCAATCAGGATGAACTACTCCTGCAATCTGCACTGCGTACAGAGAGCATCCGCATCTACTCTCAGTCTCTCTGTCAGATTCTCCCCATCTCCCTTACTGTTCCCATGCATTGTGGCCATTCTGCACGTTATTCTCGACTACATGTCTTCAGCTGGCTGATTCTGGCGGTGTACAGGTACATCTGGGCAGCTTGGTGGCGTTGCTGAGAGTGCCAGTGTGCGACCAGCCTCCCGGTAAGGATAATGGGCAACTGAAACAGTCAGCCCGGTCACTCCTTACGCCTAGCATAACGCACAATAGAAACTGAAACCACAGTACGGAGTATTCTGATGAAGAAAAAAAATGAAAAAAGTAGTTCAGCATGTCGTCATCAGGGTCATGACTCGCCAATAGTTTGCCTGTCAGTCGGCCTGTTTGTGCCCCAGCTGGAGCTGCAAGCCTCCAGCAAGATCCACGATGCTAATCACGCCAAGTTCCCTGTGTCCACTCGCTGAATCCAATCTATCGGGGTGCTGGCACAAGATCCAGCACAAAGCACTCGTATGTGTTCTTTTTTTTTTTAATCTACACAGTGTGAAATGGTGAAGGAAGAGAAAAAATCTCTGCGGCAATAATATTATTAATTACCGCGGGAAGTAATAATAATCTCCGATCCCCTACTCGTGCAGTAGCGGCCAAGATCCGGCTCAGCCTCCCGAGCCCACCGAGTAATATTCCGTGCGCTGACGATCGTCCTGCCCATCTCCCAATCTGGAATCTCCTTCCAAATCCTTACCGACCAAGGACAAGAAAGGAAGGCAAGACAGGAGTTCCAGGCTTCGAGAAAAATTTTATCGACAATTTATGACTTTCTATGTCTTTGCTATCCATGACACGGATCCTTTGCTGGCTTGCACCTGCTCGTCCTCTTGGATCAGCGAGTTGACCGGCCCAAGATTCTCTCATAGAAGTTAGGCTTACCATAGATTTTCTCCTAAGTTTCCCAAGCAAAGGCAACACAGTGTAATTCCTAAGTGGTCTATGACCAGCAATCAAGGACAAAAGCATCATCTCTTGTGCGGGGGAGAATGCGGGTTAACGTTTTCTCAGCTCTTCAATGGTACGGTGCCAGATGCAGGAGAAGGTCCTGCCTCTTTGCAAGCAGATTCCCGGAAGGCCGTTGATCTGTAGGAAGAATGCAAAAGGCATCGTGACAACAAGGAGGGTTGACTTGGTTTCGTAGACTGCGTCCACTGTGATGTAAGCGCCAAATCCAACTTCCACATCCAATCAGATATGTCCTTTGCATGGGCTTCGGTCTGCTGGTCAGAAGATGAATACTAACGACAGCACAATGGGGCCTTTGTGGAGGTTGCCTTCGGGTGGCCGCTTGGAGGAATAGACGACGGAGCACCAGGGAAAGGACTGCGAATCGAGTTTGGACCGAGCGTGACCTTATGGACCGGTCTTTTCACCGAAGACTGACTTCTCACAGTCGTGTCATCTTGGAGAAGTCGAGATACGTCGCCCCTTGGCCCTTCTAGAGTGCCTTCTTAATCGTGTTCCCCTGAGTGATAGATGTTCTGTGTTGGGGCCGATTGCTAACTGAGGGGAAATGGACTGGTTTTTTCACCAAAGATTGACTTCTCAGAGTTGTGATCATCTCAGAGAAGTCGAGATACGTCGCCTCTCGGTCCTTGTGGAGTGCCACATAATCTGCGATCTTTGACGTAAATGTATGTACGGTTTTGCGTCCGGGGGTTGTTGGGGTCATTATTTTTGATATGATTCCGCGTTGTACAGGCTTCGTCCCATATCTGATGTAGTCCGTATTTTCTCTTTTCCTGCACAGCAAACAGCGATCTCTGAGCCGAGGCCAACCACTCTGAGCAACACAAACTGGGTATCAGTAATATCTGAACCAGAACCCATCTCATTAAGGTCATGGATGCTGTTCAATTTTATCCTTTTGATAAGCAGGGCCAACTCATTTTTCTCCTGAGGAATTGTGAAGTTGTCAACTCTCCACCGCGACTTCATTGATTGTTCGGATTTCTTGAGAAATAGCAGAGCAATAAACAATCTGTCCATCTTTAAAAGAGGTCCAGAATTTTGACCATTCGTAAAGTCTCTGGTCTCGGCCCCATCGCCGTAAGCGAATGTGGTATTCGTCATCTTCGTCGGTTACGAGCTCACGATAGCGTGTGGCTGCTGTGCGTGCAAGGGCATCGAGGTTATCGGCGGAAATCCCGTCTGCGAGGTATACCATGGAAACATCTAGGTATCCTCCAAAGTTATCGACGATATGGTAGCCCGTGTAGGCGCGAGAGTCGTCGACAGTTGCGCGGAGAAACGCTAATTGTCTGTCCTTGACGGTGTTCTTTGTGATTCTGTGAGGGACATCATCGAAAGTATGTCCGATAGGCACCATCAATTGATGCTGCGCAGAAGATGGCTTTCATAGTGGCAAGTCACCTCAACACCAAACTTGTGAATTCCGAGTGTCAAGGCGCGGATGTCATCATCAAACGTTTTATCAAACGTTTCTTGTGCATTACCGCGTGCTTTCTCACGAAGATGGCGTAGATTGCGTAACATTACAGCGCCATTATGAGACTTTTGTAGCGCCGATTCTTTCCTTCCCGCGTGGGAATTGGATGGGACGCTTCAGAAACTCTCTTAAGGCACCCAGGTTAGAGAGTTGAGGATCCGTATCGTCGGGTTGCTCAAGGCGCGGCTCGATGTCTCTGAGCTCAAGTTGTTAGCTATACCCGTTATCTTTATACGAGAGACTCACCTTTCTCTTTCGTTCGGAAGCCCTCACAGAATCCCGGGAACGAGAATTGTGTTGGACTGAGGACTCCGTTTGTGAATCGTGAAAGGAACTGAACCTCACGACGTCGACATCCCAGGAGGTGATGATGGGTTGTTGGCGTCGTTGCCATGGGCGGTCTGATCTGCGCCGACGGCAGCCAGGATCTCAACTATCCTTGGCGATGATGGAGCAGCACGAGTGGCAGCACCGATGTGGCATGAGTCCAGGATGAAAATAACATCCACAAGAGGATGGAGGTTTGACCAGGTTGAATTTTCTGCGACTTCTGCAAAGAGATCACAAAGCGAAACATGCGGCGATTGGTTGCACTGGCCACAAATTCGAGTTCATCGAGTTGAGTCACATCACCGTGCCCGGCGTAGTGAACCACAATAAGCTTCGACCAGGAAGCTGATGTGCTCTTTCTAGGATTTGTCGAAAGTGAGTGGACACTGTCCAACCCGGGGTAATGTCTGTGTCTTTGAGAACAACTTTGCTGTGGGGAAGGAGAGAGTCTTTAGAATAGTTTGGAAGTTCTTCGTAGCCTGTTCAGCTTTCGAATCGTCGTTCTCAAAACGGATAGCGAAACCGATAACGTTGGCGTATTGCTGCGCGCGCCGACTGGCGGCTTCACGAAGATGTGCTTCCAATTCGTCCTTCCTGATTTTAGCCGAGGCCATGACTTTGACCTTCAAAGTTCAGGCGTTGATCAGCAATGTCCAATGAGATGTAGGTGGATGCAGGATCCCCAGGAATCTGCCTGGATGATTCAAGGTGTGGCGGGCCATGGAACTGTTTACTTACTGAATTCTTGTCTTTTAGAGAGGGAGAGGAGAAGGAAGAACAAGAGGGGAGGGTGAAAGAGGAGAGAGGAAGGGTCCTTATATGGCAAAAGAGGCAGGTAACACTGTCTGCCTAGGCAGGTGACTGGGCTAGGCACCTGACAATCTTCCCTTCCCTACTGTTGTGCCTGGAATAGTCTTAGTACAGGAACCTGAGAATGGTGGCACTCCAGTAATCTGTCAATATAGTGTCAATTGGCGCGCACTGGTAAAATCATTCACTAGCCAGGCATGTACTACAGAGCCAGACTCTCCATTCACTATACCCCGGAGGTGGTAAGAACGCGCCTTCGAAGATTT